GCTGTTTTAATACATATTGAAATGTGGTTAGAATATTTCAAAACTTTTTGAATCTAAACACTTAACTTTATTGTATACGACTAATATATTTATCCCATCTCGACAGTTACTTTCCGCGATTGCTCATGGCATGTTTCGCTCGACTGGTGTATAGCACAATCAGGTGACACAAAGTCTATATCAAGTTCACTAGAGAGAGGAATACGATAACAATAAGACGTCGAGTAATATTTCAATAAGCTGAGCACATTAATACCTCTATAAATTAAAAAAGGTACAATAAAATCTATGCACCAACTATAGGCCTATGTGAATTTACAAAAGACAAATACCACTAACGCAAGAAGTAAAGAAAAATAGTGTAAAAACAATGTACAAGAACAAGGAAGACGACCTTTCCCGCAATATTATAAAACACTAGCATAGGCTAATTGACATCGATAAGATATAAAAATAAGTAATACAAATTACCATCAGCAAATCGCACTTATTCTTAGACATTAAAACCGAGTTTAGAAAATGTTTAAGAATTCAAAAAACACACACACAGATATTTAATTAGCTTTCAGCTGTTTCTACATATAAAACATCATTTACATTTCCAACAACATTTTTTTACACAACGCCTCGCTCAAATCCTTAATTGGTCTAAAATTAACTAAAATTCATCATTTTGTCTATGCAACCACCGTTTACTACTTACAGAAAAGCAAGTAGGGTCGCGGTCGCTCACAGACTACTAGTAGGTAGGCCTACTCAACAATGCAATGACAGTAGGCCAACAGGGCCAACGCCACTGCCATCATCATCACATCGCCGTGCCACCGCCATAGAGTAACGTCACGTGACCTTGAGAAAGGTTATACTCGTGATTGTTACTCTGTGCTTTAGCATTCCAGAGAGTTTCAGTTCGTTCTGCGGCTAAGAGGAATGTACGCTTCATAGTTCTATGCTCTTTCTTTTTTCGATTTCGTTTGCGGGTTCAACGGGTTCACGAGTTTATTGGTTCAATTCCCTTGTAAATCATTTAGGCTACGGACGGACCCTGTGAGTTATTTGATGGGACACCGTATTTATTCCATGGTACTAGTACTCCGCAACAGAGTAGGTAGTACAGAATTGTCAGTCCACTGCGGCGTTAGCATTAACAAAGCAGAGCACCAATATATCATTATATTAAATTTTACAACCGACACACAAGAGCGCGCATTTTAAATGGAATATTAAAAGTATAATTTGATTTTATAACACGTCGTAAAACACCTCAATACAAAAGCCTTACGAAAAGCTGGCTCGTTAACTAGGAATGCTAAAATTAACTGCAATTTACTTAATCTTATCTTTTTTACTGTTTGTGTTCATTGTACTGCACTAACAAAATAATTGATATCGTATTTTGTTTTATATCCCCATCCAAATTACTTATAGATAATTATTTTCGATAGTTCCGGTTGATTCACGATTATGGCTAAAAACCCTTTTTTAATTATTTACAACCGGTTTTATTTCCAGCTTTATTGCTAATAACGTTCAGAAGTTAATTGCATTACAGAAGGTAATCAAAAGAATCACATTTGCAATTAAATCTGAAATGGGCACCCGGATCAATATTTTTCTGATGTTGTGCATTTAAAAAGCCCGTTTTTTATTTTATTTTTTAATAGTCGAGTCGTGCTCATATCCCTATAGCACAGGAAAGAAACATCACCGAAACACGAACGATAAATTTCCAACAAGAAAAAAATCTGTATAAAATAATACATAAATGTGTATAGTAAAATTTAATTTTTAACTTCGCACGAAGATAATCCGCGCGGCTTAAATTCGCCTCGTGTGGCCGATGCCTAAGTAGAGTAGTTGTAAAAACAAACTTCAAACCTATGGATTAAAACAAACTATTATAAAATGTACCAACAGGATTGCATCCAGGGAATGATTAACGGTTTAAATATTATCGAGCTAAACAAACCACACATTCAAACCACTAATCGCTTCTAAAGCGATTCGAGATTCAATGCTCTACTTGGCACAAAATTAATTACTAGTCTAAATTCAGGGCAATTAATTAAAGAAGAATCTTTTGGTAGGTTTCATGGTCAAGTACAAAGCCGAACCATCTGTAGCTAGCCGACCATGCGGGGAGGAATAATGAATATACCTAACCTGACTGGTTAGGTGAATGACCTTGGAACAGCTGACACGTTTGATTAGCAATCAGCTGTTAAAGTGCACTCCACAGAGTAACTGTAGTACTATACTGGTATCGATAAATACGATCATATAATATAATCGGACAGTTTCTTCTTCATTGATAGCTGATTTTGTAACAATCAAAATTTCAAAATTAACTACGTTTTGTAACCTTTTAAACAACTGTATGAGTCGAAAAAAGTGTTTTGTGTTCGTAAAAGAAAAAAGTGGTTGTTATCGTAATTCAGGTGGAATATTGAATTTACAATGATGATGTAAAAACCTTTGTTAAATATTTAAGACTTTCCTATTTCAGTATAATGGTTGGTGGAGCGTGGGGCATTTTCCTATTGACCCGGTTTAAATTCCGCAGATCACAACTTTTCTGCATGTCATAAAAGCGGGACCCTATGGTTCGGAACCCACCGATGAAATTGTAATAGGACAAATAGGCCTTATTGATATTCGGAGTGTAATGTTGAACGTAGGCGCCAAGAACTATCAGTTATCTAGGTACTCATTGCTTATCACGGCACGATAAATAGGCCTACTCATTGCTACCACTTGAAATGACTGAGGAAGAAACAAATAGTACAGTGGGCCTTTTGCGTTGACAACATGATACTACAGTATTCACCTACTGTTACACACTTTAGCAAATCCTACATTTGTTGACTAATCCTACCTAATTATTTTACTGCGGCAATGCACCATTTAACATTTGAGTAAACTTATTTGCAGGAGGATAGTTTGGTATTAACAATATGCAGACAACTATATACGAAGAATCCCTTACAGAAAATCGCCTTACAGAATCCCCGAATTCTCTACTGTTCCCAAAAGAATTTTCACACCAGTTTCGAAAACTTTTCCGCCCAATGGGGGTTTACAATTATTGCAGGGCAAAAAGCGTTCCTTTCATTTATTCATTCAACCCAACAAGTGTGGTACTATTCCGTGATTGTTGTATTTTGTATAGCTGACTGAAAAATTATATACTAAAAAAAGTTAACGATTTTACAAAAAGAATACAACGTGTGGAAACAGAAATGTTGAAAACTGTACTTACAAAATTTGTCAACAGGCTAAATAAGAAAAACATAGTCTTAAAAAGAATGAATAAATTTATTTGCATGAATTCCATTTTTTTTCCTTTTTTGAGATTATTGAGACATTCTCAATTGCTATTAGTAAGCTAAAAAGTGCTCAGAACTGTGGGAATGGTATTCAGTCATTTGCAATGAGACAGAAAATAAATAATAAACTAAAACACTTATAATAAGTAATTGACGATTATTTTACTGGTAAAATATTCTTGGTATCATCCAACATGACTCAATTATTGTCAGACTAGAAACAACAAATATAAACATACTGGTCAGGCTATACACCATCAAGCCTTTATCATAAGGTCTTGCTCCATGACATAAGGTTATCAAGCTGAATTAGCGATGTTATAAGTTCAAGAAGTTATCAAAGAATTGACAAACGAACTATAAAAAGGTTTTCACGCCAAGCTGGTGATTTAAAAGTGAACATGGCGACAAGTTTTTCGTCGATGATTAATTATTGTTATGTAGTCGGTTGGGATTAATCGCAAAACATATGCTGAAAGTACTCTCTACCATTCGATTTACAGTTTAAATACTGTTTTTAAAGACACATGTTGTATACTATTATTAATTAACATGATAGTTGAGTCTTAATTTAGATACATTACTAATAGTTTGCCTAATTTGAATTTTAGACACAAATCTTCAGTTGAACATTAAATATGTTATTGAACAAAATAGAACCACTAATCAAGTTAACGTGACTAAAAATGTAATATATTGAGGGATATCATTTGAAAACAATCACATATAAAATTACCGGTATACCTGTTGTTTTTTTTTTTTTTTTTTTTTTTTAAGGAAAAGCTATTTTCGTTGGCCTGAATAAAAACGAATTTTAATACAGTAGGATACATTGTCACAGTATTGCATGTTATCACATCTGCTACGTTTTCCATGAAACCTTTTTAACGAAAATTTTAGCAAATAGTTTGATTTTCATTAAATGTATGGTAGGTACCAAAGCTATGAGTTACAGCGATTGTTTTTTAGTACTGGCAAAATAACTTATTCTTAGTACCATGAAACATAAATTAAAAGCTCGTCTTAATTTATATAAGAACTGCGTATTAGCACCACATTTTAATTTACTATTGTAGGAATTGTAATTTTCTTAGATACTGTAATTAAATAAACATACCCAATTATATCGATATTTAGTATCAAACTCTAAAATACAACCTAAAACACGAATTCCACATAGACTTCATTGGTTTTTGATGAAGCTACAACAATTCATTGTACACCCATCACAAGAGTAACACAAAATACATTGCCCTGAACTTTAAATGGCAATATTTCAATTTATTGAAAAAACAATTTAACACATCAACAAGTAAATCACTGAAATACGATTCATGCTAGACTCTGAAAACAAATATAGAATAGAGGGTGGTTCCCACCCCACATCAGACCCACCCTAAAACAGTAAACAAATCAGGAATCATTCCAGAATCCAGACTAGCTTACAAGTTAGCACGAGTTGTAGATAATAAAAAAGGTCCTTTATTTTGATTGACACTACCGTCCCTCAGTTGAACTAGAATACTTCTACAGTATTGTATTGTAAAGAAGTTTTGGAATCTCCGTTGCATAGGGTAAGGAAGAAAACGACCGGCCATGGAGTCTTTGTTTCGCCGGCATCGGTTTCGCGCAAAAAAGCGTTAAAGTCGAAATAATACTCCACTTTAAACTCACCTGTAACACTCCAAAGGTAATTTCTCCTCTTGTGAATCAGCCAAACACTCTTTGGAACTGTAAAACGCACTCGAAACACTTATTTATTCCACCGCACCAACTCAACAACAACCTAACCTAACGAAGACGAAGCCCGGACTGACAGCAGAAGGATCGGCGCAGTGCTGCTTTCTGTCGACCAACTGGCGAACTACCTCGGCAGCGGCGGACGGGAGAACTACGTTGACCGCGTCGCCCTGAAAATCAAGTAAGACGATTAATTATTTTGCGGAAAGTGCGAATTAAAAGTGCTATTACCGTTTGTCACACGACCACGAAGCTTCCTCATAAAAACTGGTGTTTATGGACCTTCTGATCTTGAAAGTAGAGACGCATATGGCCCAGCCATTTCTCTAAAACCAAGGTTGTTTATTTTGAAATCCATATTTTCCCGGCAGGATGTAAGTCAGACGGGTTGTTAAAAGGTAAGTTTGTATGCTCACCTTGGTTTACGAAATATGGATTCCACTTGGGCCATCTACATTGGAGCCATCTTGGTTTTAGCGAATTTCCCATATAGGGAATAAGCTATTACCGTAGTACTCATGGTAAGACCTGGACGCGGGACCGATTTTTTTTTCGTTTTGAGGTCCCTAGAGGCCAAAAGCACCATCCGTTCAAATTCATATATATATATATATATTTATATATATATATATGTGTCCGTTAGCACGATAACTCGAGCAAAAATGATCCGATTTTGATGAAATTTGGTACAAACGTGTAAACCTACGTTTATTCGAACGAGTTCGCGAACCAGCATGATCGGACCATGGGAACGGGGGTTTACGGGGGGTTTTATGGGGTAAAAATAGGTTTTTCCCATTTTTGACCCAAAAAAAATAAAATTTAGCAATTTCTTTCCAAACCATTTTGTAGAGCTTAAAAAAACAAATAATTTAGTATATTGAAGCGTTATTATGCGCCAAATGGTTACGGAGAAAATTCCAAAAAATTGTAAATTTAAAATTCCCATGTTATTCTTATGGAGAATAAGTAAACTGTTGTAGTTTGCTTGTTTATGAACATATTTTGATCAAATTTGGAAAATGTTTTTATTTCTTACTAACTATTAACATTTATAAAAAAAAAAAAAAAAAAAAAAAAAAAACAGTTTTACCCTCCCTGATGCAGCAAACCTAAGTACTTGTTAAACTAATTCTATTTAAATCGGGAATAAATGTTATATTTTTAAGTAGACATTTCAGTGTAAATCAAATCAGTCAATTGGAAATTCGCTTAGTCTGCAGGTTTGCTGCGGCGGGGGTATTATAGGGTATTTTTGGGTTTGAACAAAGACACGCTGTTAAAAAAAGTATAGGGTAGCTACTAACCTAAGTAACCTAACCTAACCTAACATTTAGAATATCTATGATGTTATAGACCCGCGCCTCCTTCAGGCATTGGAAATTTCAAGGACTCAAAATCCAGTTATCTGATAAAGCTTTCTTGCACTAATTATAGGACGCAAAGTAGTTAATTCCTGCATTTACTCACTTTTCCGCACTCATTTTACTTTGCTACACTCCAGTATTTCAACCAAACGACACAAAAAATGTGTTTGTATTAGTCACGTAATATAGTATGTACTATGCTTGAAAACAATTTGGCCACACTTACTACGACTACGATCAGCTGCTTATACACTTATGACTTAACCTATAACCTGTTTTTGAGTGTTAACATAGACAATTCAAACCAAAAATGACATTCACATTTTGATAAGGTTTGTTAAATTGTATTCACATTTTGATTTGTCAATTTGTGAAACTGCATGATAAAAATAACATTTATACAAATGCAGATTATTTTCTCCTTTGTACTAACTGTAAGAAAAATATAATGTGTAAAACGGGCGTAAAGTGCCTAGAACCTTGGGTGGTGTAGAACCGCTAGGTGTTACAGAAACCTTCAAAGTAAACATTTATCTCAAACGCAGCAAAGTGTCATTTTGCGCACTAGTTACACATATGACTATACCTATACCAGTAGCATTCTATTTGCTATTGCCCCGATGTTTTCCTCAATACTGTCAGTATCTCGTAATTGAGATTCGATGTTTATCCCATTTGCTCCAAATCCACCTAATGATCATAAGCTGCTTTTGGTGAGCAGTCAAAGCTCCAAATTCATTTGTTGAATGATTACAACAATGGTTCCGGTTCTAATTTGTTTTCCTGTGATCTATTAGCTCTGAGTTTTCATAAGAATGTTTAATGATAAGAGTATTTCATTCTGCATGTGGATATGTTTAATGGGTACAGGATTAAATGTGTTTACATATAATTTTATGAGTAGGTTGGATTAAATGGTTGATCACTTTATAGTTTTTAGAAAGAAGAGTCTTACAGAAAGGACATTTTCCACCTGGTAAACAGCATGACATTTAGAAAAGATAACAAACTCAAGTGGTCTCCCAATCAACGCTGAATTGTGCTCTAAAAGAATATCTGCCATACGTTCAATCATTTACTATGATCATTGACTGGATAGGCAATGGTTCAATAAAACAATGCAATAATCAGCAAATAATACACTTTCTTTCTAGAAGACACCAAACTTTCTTATATGGGGACAATTTATCAAATATTTCTATGCAGTTAACGTTGATGCAAAAACAAAGTTGATGCTTCTTTGTTAAGTCGTTCCATCGAGTTCGAATTGCATCACCACTGGGCCATTCGGCAAGTATGAAGAATCGAGATGTTGATTTTATTCAAGCGATACTTCACTAGTACTAATTGAGTCATCAGTCTAGAACTTTAGTGGTTTGGGTGTACTGTGACCTTTGTTGACCATAACTTCTGTTTAACTCTGACTGAAGAATCAGGATAAATGGTGGGTGAGCCCGATGAACAACTAATTGAATTGTGTTGATTTAACACACTAATTGAAAAAATAGCATGGCACTCTGGCGCCATCATGCCACGAAAACAGCTTTTTCCAGATCCACGCAGCACCCAAATCCTCGCGTGCTACCTCCGCCCACGACCGTGACGTCTGGAGCCACTAGAGCTTGGCCAATTTGAGCTTATCGTGCTATCTACGTGCAGTTACCTCTGCTGCGCTCTAGCAACGCCACGTCGAACCTTGACCTCTGTAGATGATTGTTGTACATCACCTGCCACTGCCTTATCGATATGATTGTTCGACCAGTCTCTGTGCTGTGCTGCGCTTATGGTGCCATCTTGGTGCAGTTACCGCTGCTGCGCTCTAGCAACGCCACGTCGAACCTTGACCTCTGTAGATGATTGTTATGCACATTGAGACATTGACGGCTGTGCATCATCTGCCACTGCCATATCGATATGATTGTTTGACCAGTCTCTGTGCTGTGCTGTGCTTATCGTGCCATCTTGGTGGCTGGTGCAGTTACCGCTGCTGCGCTCTAGCAACGCCACGTCGAACCTTGACCTCTGTAGATGATTGTTGTGCACATTGACGGTTGTGCATCACCTGCCACTGCCTTATCGATATGATTGTTTGACCAGTCTCTATGCTGTGCAACGATATAAGTGCTGTGCTGTGCTTATCGTGCCATCTTGGTGGCTGGTGCAGTTACCGCTGCTGCGCTCTAGCAACGCCACGTCGAACCTTGACCTCTGTAGATGATTGTTGTGCACATTGACGGTTGTGCATCACCTGCCACTGCCTTATCTATATGATTGATTGACCAGTCTCTGTGCTGTGCTGTGCTTGTCGTGCCATCTTGGTGCGGTAACTATACTGCTGCGCTCTAGCAACGCCACGTCGAACCTTGACCTCTGTAGATGATTGTTGTGCACATTGACGGTTGTGCATCATCTGCTTGTCGTGCTATCATAGATGAAGTAATGTGCTATCTTGGTGCAGTAACCTCTGCTGCGCTCTAGCGACGTCAAAGTGAATCACGAGCCCAGAACCGCTGCACCTAATAATTATAGATTGTTTACCACTGCCATATCAATTGCATGATTTGACTTTCATATTGCTAAAATAATTGGCTTAGTCCAATTAGCAATGGCTTGAGGAATTTGCAGGGTTATTTGAATGTAATTACTGCATTATTATTAGATAGTACCGGTAATTATTCACCAACATTCATGGCCCCCACAAGGGTGGGGCTGGCGCAACTCTGGTCACAGGGCCCGGGCCCTAGAGGGCCCGGGCCTACCCATTTTTTCCTTTTTTTCTTTTTTCCCCATTGAAGATCACTTTACAGCAGATCATAAATTGAAGATAAAAAATAGTATATATATATATTTTACAAAAAAACTAAGTTAAATAATTTAAAATGTATTAATTCTTGATTCTAAGGAAGTTCATATTTAAATACTATATGTGCGTAGGTGCGTATGTACTATCACAGCCACCTCTAATACAGTACTATACAACAGCAGAACAGCCAGCTCGGGCCCCAGTGGCCGGCTCCACAAACTCCCTCTACCCCTTCCTCCCGCCAGGCGCCTAGCCACTCCTACCTCATTCCCCCCATAATAAACACAGTTTGGTTTTATAATTGAACTGATAGTTTCAAGAATGAATTCTTATAGTTATAAGTTAAAATAAAATTTGTAAAGCATTGAAAAATTGACATGTACTATGTACCATAGCTAAGGTGACCAGACGTCCCGTTTTAGGGGGACTGGTCCATCCCGACAAATCCTCTCGGGACGCTTATTTGTCCCGTTTTATCAACATTTGGTCCCGGTTGCACTTTTATGTATGGAATATTTCAATTTAATTGCAATCTAGGATATTTGACACAAACTTAAAAATTCTTTACTTTTGGAGTTTTAAAAATATGAAAGATTGTAGGCCTAATAATTTTGACCTAAGTTTTCTTCCCAATTCACTCGGTATAATACTGTACTAAAGCATGGATTGGATAGCATCGGCATCGACAGCATCGGTCATTCTCGGCATTACTCGTGCACATTCGTTTTTCTCCGTGACTACTCGGCGCGAGTACTACTCGCGCAAGTTCGGCAGCTCAGGCATCCACTCCCAAAAAATGTAGTATTGTTAAAATTCTTGATGAAAATTGTCACTGAATAAAATATGATTTCATTGGTGTAAGCTGTTAAACTCAATTTACGTAAGTTTTTTTCCTACTCCATATTACAAAGTACAATTATAGCAGTTAAGATAGCCAAACCCTTTTACAGGGAAATAAAAAGGACAAAATATTAATAGGCATGGAGCTTTTGTGTATTGATATAATAGTTTTAATTGCTGAATTCCTGTAATTTTAAGTCTTATAAAACTCTTTGAAAAACTCTTTCTTCCTTAAAAAAGGCTGCAAAAGTGCCATTTACCACTCACAAATTTAATACCTAGATTGCATTAAAAACTCACTAAAATACATGACATTTTCAAAATTTTCCCGGGGGAGAACCCCCGGACCCCCCCTCTACGCCGGGGGGTATTCCATACCCCCCCGACCCCCCGGTTGGTAGGGGGGCCCGAGCCAGATCCTGGTAACAGGGCCCACAATTAAATGTGGGGGCCATGCCAACATTGTAGATGTACGTCTTCGAAGCATCCATTAAATCTTTGTTCACAGAAATGAGTTTGACAACTTAGATATGTCTTAGTGGATTTAGAGATAAGTATAGAGGCGGATTGGGTGGCCAGATAAAACTCCCACGTTTAATATGCATTTTTTTTATACCAGCAATAGTGTAAACAATATATAATGCAATTTTTCGTTTGGTTTTGTAAAAGTGGAACATTATTTTCGCTTGAAAACTTGTTAAATTTAAGATATGGCTTTGCGTGGGTATGAATTATAACCATAGGATAGGTAACATTTAGGCCACCCTTTCATATCAAGCGCAGATAATACATAGAACATAGTTAGTATATTTCTCATCTCATTCTTCAGCTGAAGACAATGTTATTCTTAGTTCCTTCCGATGCTGCTAGGATCGCGATTTTGTTTACAATTGTTTTTTTTTTAGTAGGAAGATAGTAAAATATATGAAACGCTTCTCTAAGGCTGGTCCTTGGTGTGGTTCCCCACTGTTTCAGTGTCCCAATGTTCCCTGTCCCGAAGGACCATGTGGATTGTGGACAAATCAATGTCGCGGTCCAGCGCCCCTAGCGGTCGTTCCCAGAGTCACAGCTTAGATCCGCTTCCGCCAGACAGCGTGTCAAGGTCCCTCCGTGTGTGTTTGTATTTTGTAACCTAGAAATAGTTTACCTCACATTGCACATATTAGATAGAAATACTGTACTTTGTAAACTATTCATGTAGGTACATCGAATGATCGAATTATTTAGCAAATACTGTTTTCGGTAAATCGGTCCCGGGTCTTACCATGAGTACTACGGTAATACCTTATTCCCTATTTGGGAAATTCGCTAAAAACATGTTTCTCTTAAAAGGGGGTGAAAAATTCAAATTTTGAACTGCCATAACTTCTGATATGATTGACGTAGATATCTCTAGGTTGCGCCATTCTTTTTTCTTTTGTCATACCCTCACATTTGATATGTCAAAAGGGGTACCTTGCATTAAAAAAAATTAAGTTAAGGGTAGGGGGAGAAAGGGGGTGAATTGAAACTTCACATTAAATTCACAACATCCCCTACGTCAATAGACGATTCCCGCAAACTGCATATTTCTATCTATGCAGTTTTTACTCAAATAAAGAAGCAAGTAATAAAAACCCTGTATATTTAATTACGTATTTAAGAATATAAAATATATAAGTAAAACTGGATGGGGAGCCTACATTACACTGTTAAAAGTCAATAATAATACAAAATGTGATTGAGAAAGCTTATTGTATGCATAAATATATCTTTTTAATTAAAAAGTTCAATCGCCAAAAAAATACAATGAAAATAATTATACAGAAGATAAACAGCTGAATTCAGCTGTCTGCAACAATAGATCAATTTGCTTAATTGGCGTCACTAATTGAAGAGGCAATTACCAACAGTTAGCGTAAAATCAATTACATTTTAGTGGTCAAGGCTATATAACATCCTTAGAGGTTTATGAGCAAATAAAACTTGAGGACTTGAAATAGTTTCATGTTTTCTTTAGTCGTTATGGATTATTAAAAGGAATTAATATAAAGAAATTTAAATTAAAAACAACATTGACAAATAAACTTTATAGGTAGTAAAGGTTTTTACATTGTAAGTTGAAGTCATTTTTTAAATACTTTCCATAAATAAACAATTATTCAATTACTGCACGAATTAATGAATTTTTTTATAAATCTTCTTTCCTGCCAACTGTGGAAAGAAACTTTTAAAATAATTTAGTAAAATTCACCTAATTAATTCTTCACTGACCATTACCTAATCGATAGGGAGGGATTTTTTTCTTTGTGAGGGAAGTTTTCTCTGTAAGGGTGGTATTCCTGAATCACTGTTGTGGTTACTCATTGTTGGGTTGGAGTGGTAAGGGTTTGTTTCGTCGGGGAGGGTAATATTTCGATATTCTCTGGATTTTGTTATTTATTGTGTACAAAACTAATAGCAATAGTGAAAGAGTATTTAAATTGTTAGCTCGTACAAATATAGTGCTGGTAGGTATATAGGTTTGTAAAACAGGATTTTCCAAGGCTCTCCCATATTGCTAAGGAGTATACAATCAAAATGGCATTTTAGATTTTAAGGTAAGATGAGACCTAATATAGTATTTATGTTAGTTTTATACCAGTTTTATCATTGCTGGTGTGAATTAAATGTGTGAAAAGTATTCTACATTGTAAACAATTTGATAATGGAATTAATCAAATTTAAATAAGTAGTCATCGATTAAACATTAAATTAATTGTTTAAACATTAAAACATGTGTATTGTATATAAAGTTATTTTTTTACGAAATTGGATTTTTGCTCAGGTTTTTACATTTTAAAACACCGCAATTGGGTGGCTTTCTTAAAAAAATATTTATTTTTTTTCGGAAAAAATGAAAAATGAGGTAAATTGAGGTTTTGTTGGCTCTCCATGGACAACCAATAGAATTCCTGAATAATGTTAAGTTTTTGTTATGTGATTGAAAATTACATCCTAGCAAAAAAATGTAAATTAACGTAAATCTAATTTTAAATTTATTTAAACATTTGGCCTGGTGTATAAATTACTGATCTACTGTATTTAAAATGACTCTGCTCATTAAATTAAAGTACAACTTAAATAAAGCTTGAATATGCTTTTTCAAGTTTGCTTACAAAATATATCGTAATATGATATGTATGTTAACCAAACTTAAGTTAAAAAGTATTATAAACTCTATAGATCAAACAAACATAGATAGTTAAAGTTCAAGCATGTCTCAAATATATTTAGTTACAGACTTATGTAACAATTTTGTCTATTAATTATATGACGAATATAAAATTTGTAATTAAAAATAACTATTAGTTACCATAACGTATGACTAAAACTTTGGAGTTTAATAACTTACATAATAACCTTAAATTAACTAGACTATTTCAATTATTTTTACATACTTATACATTAGATTAAGTGAATTGAAAATTTTACATTGTGTAAAATGATATGAGAACACGGTAAATGTTTAACAAGTTTTCAAGTTTGAAGGGCCTTTCGTGTGTGGGATCAACTTTTATTATGAAGTACTTAGAAATGTGTGATGAAAAAACTTTCATAACAGTCACCTAATACAAACTTTTATTTTATATCAGACAAGTTTTAGTGGTCTGTCATTTTCTTACTTGTGAATCTATTTGATTTTTATGAAGAATCTTTTTCATTGTTTTCAGATCAAAATATGATACAAAATTAAAATTAGAATTAAAGCTAGTTGAGGAAATGCGTTTTTAGAGGATTTGATGTATAGAATATTTATACACACAATTATTCTTATTTCGAAACTGTAACTTTAAGAAGCAGATGGAAACCTATTATAATTATCATATTTTATTTATGAAATAAACTGTATCAGCAATCTGACACATACTTTCTCCCATAATCTTGTAAACAACCTTTATCATGGGTATGCGGTGGGAGTTGTTATGATATTTTAGGGGAAATCACAAAAGTTGCAATAACCTTTAACCCACGAAATTACAGCAAAGTGGATTGTAGAATTTTGTTTAGGATTATAAAAACCATAACATACTAAATTTCAATAAAAGTCATTCAGACCGTTTTTGTGAAAATTTGATTGTTTCATTTTCATTATTTTATGGGAAATCACCATTTAAATTTGAAATTAAAAAACTGAAAAACAAAAAACACCGAGTTACCTCGAATACCCATTTACCAAATGTTATCAAAACCGGACCACAGGTGTGGTCTGAAGCTTTATGCACATCCACACACACATACAGACACGTCGAAACAACTTTTCTAAGCCATGGGGGCCAAACCACCCAAACCCCAAACTTGAAAGTTTTGACGTAAACAATACATACTCAATGACAATACAATTTTTAAATTTTAAGCTTTTAGAGTTATATATCAATTTCAACGGAGTGTGTTTTTGGCCCCTGGTGACCTCAAAATGAAAAAGTAAATCTGTCCGAGGTCTAGGTCTAACCATGAGACCTATGGTATTAGCTTATTCCCTACATGGGAAATTCGCTAAAAAATAATGGCATAAATTCGTATTATAATAGGGGTTGTGGTAATTATTTATACATTTTTTTCTAGGTGTCACCAGTACTAATCGAAGATTAAAACTGGAACTCTCAAAATATAATTAATTCCATTTTCAACAGAAATACCTCTCGAAACACACAGAAAATCAAAAAACTCGTTTGAGAAATGAGAAAACATCACCGGCCCCAACTCAGACCCTTGAGGGGCCCCAGTACAAATATTCCTTTGTAATGCATCAAGACAGATGGACAGAGACAGAGACATCAGCTCCAGCAACTACGCTTCTTCTTCTTCTTCCGACCATTTGGAAGAAGACAACAATAAGAATAACGTCACTGACGAGAAACTCATGGTAAGTTGGGAATGCATTTGTGACTCTGTAAGTTAAACACACTGTTCATATCATACTGGAAATCACATTCTCTTTGGAATAAAATCAACCCAAACAAAGGTAGCCTTATCGAATAGTTCTCAATAGTTGCAAGGAATTGTTAAATAAGTATGTTATCAGATGAAATTAGAGAATAACGTGAAGTATTTCACCATGAAATGAAATGGAAACTTAACGTAATCTGTTCAATCTTTCCCTGTAAATTTTCCTTTCAACTATAGCGTGAAAACTATGAGGAAATAAATGTGACTTCATTCAATAATACTTTGTGAGAGGCTCATCCAAATATGTAATTTTAAAATAAAAATGCTATTGCTGGACCATGTACAGTATGAATAGGAGTAGCTAAATTAAAAATACATTCGTATGTAGATTTTCTATGTAATGCATGCTTTAGCAATTAGTCGATAGAAATATACAAATGGTCGGCTATTGAAAAATTAATTATTAGGTTAGGGCAGTAAAAATATACAGTTGGTGCTATTTTAAATTACAATCCACACAGGATTCTTTCTACGACTTACTTTTTGGGAAATGTATTTATCCTGATGAAATTTGAGCCTTGCGTGGTTTTCGTTGTTATAACACAACGTGTATTAGCATAACTGAATTTTCATGCAAATGTTCGTTTCAGATTGTGCATACATTGTACTAAATCGATATAGATTCTTTGAGAAAATATAGAAACGTTGCTTGTGTATTACAAGGAAACGTATTATGTTTTGAATTATATTTCATAATATTAATAATGTTTTATACGTACAGATGTTCAGAGCTTATTTAGGTTTCCTCGATTCATTTTCAGATTCAAATTTATTATCGGTACAACTATTATTCCCATCCCTTCGTAAAAATACGTACTAGTAGGTATTGTATTGAATATAGCTTAAATTAAGAATGAAATGCACATTGAGTTACTTTTAGAACGCGGTATACATATTATACACTCGAAGCAAGGGTGAACATAGGACTTAAAATCCTACAACTAAGAAATATGACCAACGATTATGGAAAAATTAGGTTTAATTAAAAAAAAACTACCACAATAGGCCTACTTCACTCCAACCAAGAGCATGAGCTAAAACCATTGACTATTGAATATTGAAGTAGACTTTCCATCTGTTTGGACCAGCTGTAGCCATTTTTTTATTAACAAAAAATAGTTGTGTGAGTCAGTCACAAACCAACACTAGTGTTTAGAATTCTATTTTAGATCTTATTTTTTGTTGCTGACCAGGTTGATGGGTCATAAAAATTGCTATAACTCATCATATAGTTTTACTTGGTTAAAAGATTGTGTATTCGGCAGAATTTTGTAATTTAGATCAGCGCAATCTGTAGATGGCTCATATCAACTACGACGATTTTAATAAAAAGCTGGCTACGAATTTAACATGGGGATGGAATGTCTAGTTGTATTGATAGTCAAAGCTAAAACCTTCTGAAACTACACATTCATATCAATCACAAACACACGTGAACGAATCATTGTTGACAAAGACGAATCAATTATCGATAGAACGCTTCGATAACTATCGATCATTGGGTGAATATTAAATTGAGTTGACCTTTGGCCTTCAGTGGGTCTTGTTCACACAAAAGTGAGATCTTGATAAACAAACCCCAACATCAGCAAAACTGTGCACTCCCGTACTTCCAGGTACTGTAAAAGGTTGCGAAAATCATACAAAAGTTTCTGTACCAGCCTATTTCCTGTGGTTATCATTTAAAAGTGAGAGAGCTGTGGTGTTCATGGATACACACATTTATATACGAAAATATAATTTTTATATGTATAGCCTATATACATACAAAAATTTAGACGACTAATGCTTTTGGTTTCTGGGGACAACAAATGAAAAAGTAAATTGATCCCGGGTCTAGGTCTTTCCATGCCTCCTACATTAAAAGCTTCTTTAAATCCTTCACTATAGAGAAATCCACTAAGTTTATCCACTATGATTCCTATTTTCACACTATTGGTTGAAGAAATTACGTTGTGATATATAATCAGCGATAATAATACATACCCCATTGCAGCAAAACTGCAGACTACGCGAATTTCACTTTGGCTGATTTTCACAAAACTTTTTCCTAGAGCATGTAAAATTCATTTAATATTTAAATAAGATTAGGTTTAACAAGTACTTAGACTAAGGAAACAAATTAAAATGTGTTTTTGTGAAAGGTTAATTGTTAACAGTAATACGACGAAAGCTTGGCATTTAATAGATAAATCTGCCAAACCAAAATAGAAGCTAACTACAACAGCTTATTTATTCTCCATAAAAATAGCTTAAGTATATAAATTTAAAGTTTTTTTTTAATTTCACCGTAGCTACACACAACACGTTTACACACTCCCAACACGTTTTGGATGGTTTTATTTATATTAAAACTAAGTAGCAATTTTATTTATCCTATAATAATGCTATTGGTTAAGAAACTCATTCAAAAATTTATAATCATTGCTAATGCCTAATGGAATTATTTTAGAAGCTTTGGATGAATTTTGTAATGATTTTAAGTTCATACACAATGCAAAACTCGGACAAACCTACTTCATTTTTACCACAATTTTGCCTTTTTTAAATCCCGAATTTTGTTGCAGGTTGCTGTAAGGATCCGCCCCCTGAGGGATGCGGAAGGAGACAGATGTATTCACTGTGTTGACGATAAGGTTTGTGTATTTATTTCTTTGTTTACGCAATCATCATTATTGACATGTTTTTTGAAGGGACTAAGACTGCTTTCAGAGTAAGCTAAGGATTTCCCCCGAGCAATGCTCGGTCCCCAGGTACTAATAACTTAAAACGTCCAATAGACGCTAATGTTTACCCATCGTACATGTCATACAAAGACGACTGGAACTTAGACTAGTCAATTATCATAAAATGCATCATATCGTTGCCTAGAAACGTATAAACAACATCTATCAGTTAACCACAAAGAAGTTATATTTCTTCTCTGCGACTTAACTATAAGCAATCGTAGTGTTGCGTACAAGTATGAATCCTAATTTTGGAACGTTTACAACTCTATTAACTATGAACACATTGGTGGGAACGAATGTGACGTCGTCAAAAACCTTGAAAAGGCACATTGGCAAAGTAATTTTCAGCATCTCATTGGCAATATTATATTTGTTCGAGCTCTTCATTTTTCTGAAGAACGGTTCCTTATACGAATCTGGCACCTTGCAAGTAAAGATAGTGAGGACTCACTGCGCGCTGTTCGCCGTACACAGTTTAATCTCATCAATACGTGATCATGCGTCGAGAATATCTTCCGCGTTGAATCTAGTTACAATCAAACGAGAGCTGAAACTGGGAAATATCTTGGATGGTGACTGGGTTGACAATATTATCACCCCAGTGTGTGTTATCATTCTACTGAATGCGCTTCTACAAACGATAATATCGCTAAGTAACTTCGTTTTACCAATAACCTCCCTCATTACAACCACGCATATGTCGGCGCTGGTAAACACACAATGTTTGACAATTGCTGTATTCTTCCACAACCTCAAGATCTTGCAGCAAGGAATACTGAAAGGGATGACACGAACAAACCATGAACAATCATGGCTACATAGACGGACTTCGAGAATCCTAAAAATACAACTGCTTCAAGAAGGAAACTTCAAGCTTTTTGCGGTTCTTCGAGGTTCGTTATTCAACACGGAAGAAGAACTCAAACGATCTTTTCAAGCGACCGTCGCTGGGTTGATACTCACGACCATCCAGATCTTTGTCTATTTCTGCTTTCAAGAGAGGATTTCAGGTTTGGCTATCTTGCATACAACCTTCTCCAGTGCGTTCCTCTTCTTCACCTTGATCATCATCGTCAACCAGATACAGAAGTCGAAGCTACTGTTCTTGACAGAGTTGTTCTCTACTGTCAGCCAGGACGAGACGCACTGCAAATTTGCCAAGCGACAGATGCTATCCAACATCCACCGGACAAGACCGTTCTCTTGTCGCTGGTTTGAGGTTAACGTCGGTCTAGTCAGTTTACTTGTTGAGGCGATTATGATGGTTCTTGTCACGGCTTTGAGTAATTGAAGTGCGATTTTGTGTCTCAGATGGGAGTGGAGCACGTTGTAAACGAAAAGTTGTTTCCCTGAGCTATCCTGCATTTTTCCAAAACAATTCTTCGTTACAATCGTCCATCGTCTTGACATCTTCTACAACATGGCAAGCACAACAAGACTACAAGAGTTAGAAAAGTAAATTTAACCTGTAACTAGTATTTTAACGATCCTTTTGACAGAGAACCTAAGAGAACAATAAGGAATTATTATTACATAGCAGACAATAGATTGGCCCAATTCGAGGCCAGTCGAGTAATTATTTCCAATGTCGCCACCAAAGAGCAATGAGACGAAGAACTGGACGGTAAATTACTGGGAATTTAATCATCAAAAAGTATAAAATCCAGATATCATTAGGCATTCAGTCTTCACCAAATAATTTATTCAAGGCTTCATTTACAACTTTCACCATCTTATAATTCAGTCGAAATGTCGTTGTCAAATTTATTTACTGACCTTTAAAGAACACAGACCAGATGTGAATTAATTACCAAAAAGACAGTTAATATGCTATCGATAGAGTCATTACCATAAAAGACAGCTAAGATTTTGAGTAACCATCAAAAGGTGAAGGCGTCAATCGTGTAATAACTAAAACAAGGCTGGAAAGTGCATAACCTAAAACAGCCACAGTAGGTTTTTAACCCACTGGAACGGCACGAAGAAAACAAAAATAACTAAAAAATAAAGTTTTTACAAAGAACTGAGCTCACATAGACATGTAATGTGTCATTTGACACACAGAAGCGTTATTTTACGACATAACTTCGCGTGACACTCACGCTGTAAAATGGTCACGTGTCAACAGTAACAATGACACACGAGCTTTGTTTACGCTGTGTCATGTTCACGACTTCCTTTTCACAGTAACTTTTAAAATGATTTCTTATGGAGTTAACCTATATCTATTGTATGGGTTGGTTTCTGCCTTTTTTACCACTTCTTGGAGATTGTACGTAGGTGATATTCTTTGGCATATTGCATCTGTAGACGAAACTTGGGTTGGTGTAATTATTACAATGGAAAAGAGCGAGAAATCCTGGACAATTTGATATAGGCTAAAAATAAAACTGAACTAACACTGTGCTACATTTCTTGAGCAATCATTGAAATAACCGATTTGCAAACAATGGAATCATAGAAAAAGTCATAGAACACAACCAAGTAGAAGAAATAGAAATAATGTTTTTTTTTACACTTAAAACGCTAAAAAAACAAGATTAGCTTTTTGAAAAAAGATAAGATATTTACAAAAGATTTTGATTATATCTAACTGTTGTGTAGATCGTGAGTATTTCCATAATCTTTGAGTCGTCTGTAATGCTTCGCAATTGCTCGAATTCGAGCAACAGGTACACTAGTTTCTAATGGATCCAAAGAGCTTACTTCACATGTGTTTCAATTAGTCATCACCGACTCCGGCTACTGAAGTTGACCAGCTGTATCCAGTTCAACATGATTGAATAGCCATCTCATATATTGTGCAACTCTTTTTGTTCCTTCTTATCGAAGATGTTGTTCTAACTGTGATAGTTTGTGAGGCATTAACACTTTACATAGTCAATGACATTACCATGGTTTGAAATAGGCTTCCTTCACTATAAACTTTAGATGATGAGTTGGCAATGTTCTGTTTACAGTAGCACAGTCAGTGGCTCAATTATATTAAGTTATTTTTATATTTAAAGTGGATATTTCAACAAAGGGTTTGTCTTAGTGCTGGTATAACCATAGTCAAAGACTACTTTATCAATTCGTCAAGCCATTGTTAAATATTGTATTTTATGTTATCCGTTATTAATTTATTACTTTTCTCTTTTTAGTTGTGTTCATTACTTCTAGTTTTATCCAATGTCATTGGGGATTTAGATTCAACTCTAGGTTTTGTTGCCATATCGCCACATTTTGTTAGACACGGTCATATGCATATTGTACGATTTTTAAAATGTTGAAACAGTTGTATTGTTATTGTTAATTATTTGGATGTGTAATGTCGTTATAATCTGCATTATTTGGGGCACGCAGTTCGTTCTAGATCTCATCAAATAAAAAATGTCTTGTTTTCTTAGTTAAATATAATATGTTTAAGATTAGTAAGATCAGTTTAATGTGGTATTTTTATTGTTTTTTGCTGTATTTTTGTATTAAATAAGTTCAAAATTTCAAATGATATTGTCTACTTATTAGTTTTAAACTATATTTTCAATTATCATTGTATTATTGTAATATAAGTACATTTTTAACGTTGATGATTTTAAAGATTTCCCCGCTAGAACATCTCTAAGATGGCGTGCAGTGTTGCCAAAGTAGAATCTTTCCTTTTGTTTCGACAGATATTTAACATTGCACGAAAGACTTTGTGGTAACGTTTGAGATGAAAGGAAATAATTGACTGTTGACTTAGTTAAAAGTAAATGACATGGATATTGACGAATTGATTGTCTACTTCCGGATGTTGAGGTGTATTGACATCAATTGACGTGAAGTGCAATTGTTTGTATTTATTTGTCAAATACACATAAATACACAAATACTTCTTCCTACCTTGCTTTCTTTTATACCATGTTATGATTATACAACTTATCATACGGGGAAAACTAGCCGTATGCCCATCTACACTATTGGCATAACGTTTTTTGTAAGGAACAGCCCAAACCGTGGTCTTGTTATTGTTTAAGCTTGGCCTTTTGTCGACCTTTTTAAAATTACATTTAAACTCTATTAAACACCTAGACATCCAAAACTCGAATTATGGCTTCTACGTCCCTTTCGTCTCAAATTATCTTTCTTTTAACACAATAATTCTGAAACTCCGTCAAGTGGTTGACTCAGAATATGTGAATAAAAACCCCTTCACGTTTAAAATATATAAGACATTTAATTAATACTAGTTGAAACCCGTCGAAATCGACGGTTAATCTTGAGGTTTTATGTAAATTCAGCTAACTGCGTTGGATAGAGTGAAGTCATTAAAATCTTAGTTATATGAAGGGAGGATAAGCAATAATAAGTATGACGATTTTGTTCCCTAAAAAACGTGATTGATGAATTCGTTTAACACAATATTTCCTACCTTTCTTTTTATCGGCTTTAGGTTGCCCAAAAGGTTTTTTAGGAGTCTTATAATTGTTTGTTCATGAGTTTGTTTCATACCAAAGCCACTTTCACTATATGGGAGAATGAGTTCATATAATTAGTCTATCATGTTATGGAAAGAGTCAATATTTATTACTAACCACTAATTCCATCTGCTTTAGGAAAATCATTCAGATTGTATCCGGATTTATAAGTAAATCTTCATCTTTTTTTAATAAAAATATCTGATTCTCCGGAAAGCAGTAACATTCTTACTTCGATCTCAGCAATTTTAAATCCTTCTCTTGCCACATCGACCCATGTAATTAATCATCCTGTTCTTACTTGATAATTCATTAACTTATGGGGTAGTTTTGCCTTGGCCATATAGATCACATAAAGCTGTGCATGTATTTCGTGGATTGGAATGAACCATAATTGTAGAAATTTTATCACAAATCTTGAACATTTGCGGAACCAAATCCATAACCTAGTCCAGCCTTGGTAACAAA